GATGGATAGATGGATAGATAGATAGATAGATAGATAGATAGATAGATAGATAGATGGATAGATAGACAGATAGATAGACAGAAAGATAGATAGATAGATAGATAGATAGATAGATAGATAGATAGATAGATAGATAGATAGATAGATAGATGGATGGATGGATTAAAAAAAATCCAAAACAGAAGATGAATACTTTTAAATCTTAAACCTTTAAATCCTGTTTTAAAGGTAAGTTTAGCAGCAATAAACAAACTAAAGTTGTTTTCTTTGTTTCTCTGTAATGAAGAAGAAGAAAAAAAACGATTTGTTTACATTCTATGCACCAATCCGCACAGAGGGTCAGCGCATGCGCACTGTTTCTTTTAACTTTGAAATTTCGAATCGTCCAATCAGAGACGAGGGGGCGTTCCCGACCCGGTAATTTCAAACCCGGACGCACGAGCTCAGCGGAGTTTAGCTTCGAGAACAACAAACACAACTTTAACTGAAAAATAAAAGTCAGCGGAGGATCGTTCCGGAGGTTTTCGTCTCAGTCCGAAGAAGAAGAAGAAGAAGAAGAAGAAGTTGCAGAAATGGAAGAAGGAGAAACCGCATCGCTGCTTGCCAGAAAAGGTTAGCTAGCTTATTATGTAGCACGACAGCTAGCATGTGTTAGCATGCTATCGCTAACTCCTCGCAGGGAAATGCAAACAAACATGGTTTCCTCCTCGCATCAGAACTCACTGGAGGGTTTTTATAACTTGATTTACATCGATTCCATCTCGTCACGTTCTGACGTGATTGTGAACTAAACGTTGCAGCAAACATCGAACTGCGCGTCAGCAGAGAATTAGCTCTTTAACTCGTTAAACACTGATAAACATGTAAATGTCAGATCAGACAGAGTATGAAGGACGATTTCACAAAGTGCAAACAACTTATAGATAGATTCATTGATCCTGAGGGAAGTGTAGGCATCCAGCAGTTCACAGTCACACACGAGAGAAAACTAAAGGTATAATAATTATAAAATCAGATAAAGATTAGCAGTACTGGTGATGGATGGATAGATTTATTGATCATAAAGGAAATGTAGGCATCCAGCAGCACAAAAACAGAAGAGCATAAGACTAATACAAAGTCAAGAACAAGTGCAATATATATATATATATATATATATATATATATATATATATATATATATATATATATATAACTCATTTATTTACACCATTATGCACATAATTTAGTTAATATTGAAACAGAAAAGGTTTTTGGTTGTAAAATGCTTTTAATCAATAAGCCAATTGTTGCAGATTGATTGTCTGTTGATCGAGTAATCAATAAACTATCAGGGCTGTAGAACGCAGTCTTGATTCCAGATGTCTATTTTCCACAGTCATCTAAATAAACCGCAACCTTCAGCCAGATGGCAGTAACACCCCGTGAAATCATCTCTTCAGTTATTCAGCCACCTCATGTGACTTTGCATCATTGAGAGGTTTTATCCCGAGTCGGTTGGTGAAGGTAGAGTGTCCCACCAGGTGTGTAAGATTCAGGTGAAAGGGATCTAATCAGAAATTTAATGTAGAATAATCCTCGTGATGTTTTCAATAGTTCGTTTCATCTAAATTGTATGAATTTTAGTTTTCTTTACCCCAGAAAAGGTTCTTTATGTTTAATTATTTTAACCTACACCTTTAATATCACAAAGTTCTGCATTTACACTTGTCTGTGAGTAAACTGTATGTTATGTACACATTCATCCAGCGGTCCAACGCGTGGTTGGATAACAAAGGTTCAGTGTGTAAGATACAGGTGAAAATGATCTATTGGAGGAAATTGAATATAAAATAATTTCAGTGATGTTTTCACTACTGTGTTTCCTTTACCCCAGAATAAGCCCCTTATATTTAAATACTTTATATTTACATCGGGAGCAGGTCTTTTCTACCGAGTCCACAGTGTTTTGGTTTTTCACAGTAGTACAGACTGGACAAACTAAACATCTTTTGAGTTTTCATGAAGGTTTCCACAGGTTCTCCTTCATGTTTGGAAGGTGAGGGTAGTTCAGCTGCAACACGCAACTACACCACTAGATGTCACTGAATTCTACACACTGAATAAATCTTTGTGTTTGAGACACAGCATATGAATCTTTGAGATCTAAATTTACAGCTAAGTATAGTGGAAAATTTATAATGTGACCTCTTCTGAATATTTGTGTAATCGTCCCCCTCAGACTTGCGTAAGCAGAAGTTGATGGAATATTTGTCAGCAAAAGGAAGAATGAAGCAGCCGAACCCGAGGTAAAAAAAACAACTTTCCTGCTAATTCAAAATACACTATGTCTGTTTATTTCATGCCAGATGAACTCAATCATTACTTTTTACCCCTCAGGCCATACCTGCGGGGTGACTATCAGATCCAGACATCAGTGATACCTGCAGCGAAGGTACGTGTGGGTGTGGTGACGTGCATAGTTTTTCTCTTTATTTTTATCTATCACAATAATGAATCATGATGCTGAGAACATTTTTGACTCATGCAAGAGAGTGACACACATAGTTTTTTTAAATTGAGAATTGTATTGATATCATATTTGGGACTGAGTTAGTTTATATATCAGCATAACTTTCACCATCATGTTCTGACCTGTTATTTCCAGTTCATACTTGAAAAGAACAAGTTCTAAGTTAAGATCATACAGATGAAAATGAACTAGTTCACGTTCATAGTTCATTTTTTATTGGGATGATGAGAAACAAACGTACGATCATGTGTTGAGTTGTTAATCGATGGCGTCAGATCATGTATACGTGTTGCTCCGGTCATTTTAACACTGAGTCAGGACTCAGTGTTAAAATGACAAATCACCTCTTGTGTAGTACTGACCACCAAATGTTGACGAATCATTTTTCATGATGTTTCATGAGTCCCACAAACTCTGGAGCGAATCAAAGAGACACTGAGTAACTTCATGTACAAATCAGGTCCTGATGAATATTAATGAGTGTTCATTTTCTGCATCATGAAGCATCTGATCACTGAGCAGCTATGACCAGAAAAACTCTGTGTTTTCACTGTTTCCACAGTTTTTCAACAAAGTCACTCACCGGCTTCACACGAACGAGCTCTGATCTCGCCGTGTATCACTCTGAGCGAGTTGGTGGGGGTCATTCTGCGCGTGCGTTAAAAAATGAATGCGTTAATTCCACCAATTTCTCATCCCGCATTAATTTGACAGCCCTTCAATAAAACACATCTGTAAACTCACACTAGGTTGAACCAACAATTTCGTCCTCGCAAACACATGAGGTTTCTGTGTATTTGCATGTGGAACAGGGAAGTGACATCCGATCACAGAAGGTCGCAGGAGACGCAATCAGGACACATTTTCATTCCACGTGTCAACTGATGAACAGTGTTTGAACCAGGTCTGAGCGGGGCCTTAGTTTCACTTGTATATTAATAGCTGATGTGCAGGTTTTAATTCAGAGCTCTGGAACCCAGAGTGAGTATTGTTTTTTTTTGTCTTCACAGGTTGTTAAGGGAAAAGAGAACAAAGCTTCAGTTGACACTTGTAAATATGAGGGGACAAAAGTTCCAACTCTGGCTGCTGATGCCACAACACAGCCCCAAAGAAAACCCTTTGGTGTCACTAACAAAGTGAATGGGAAAGGCAGCATCCTGACTGCACGGCAAACTGCCAGATATCAATCTTCAGCCAGTGACTCAGACCTGTCAGGTCTTAATAGAAACTCATTGCTCATACAAACTATCTCTGCTGGTCTGTTGGGAAAGTCCCACCCGATTTCAGCCAGCCACACCAAAAGACAGCCAAGAATGCGGTCTTCAAGCAGAGCCTCTTCAAATTCAGCATCCCACAGCAAAGTCGACAGGAGTTCCAGTGCCTCTTCAGATTTAATAAAAACAGGCAGTAACAGAATGAGCCTCTGCCCCATCGTTAAAACAAAAACAGGGCTCATCTCTGCCGTGATACAGCCAAGAAAAACAAAGACATGTTCATCCCACGCCTCTGCTGTTTCTGTCGCCAAAAAGGTGCACTCCAGTACATCGGCAGCAGGTTCCCTGAAGTCTGTTACGTCTCTGCAGAAAACGCTTCACACTACTGCGCTAAACAACCATGTGAATAAGAAAACAACAGTTTCTTCTGCAGCAATAACTGGGTGTAAGATTCCACCTCAGAACAAGTCTAATGCAAAACCACTTTTGGATAAACACTGTCTGTCGTCTCGTAAGGGTCAGTTATCCAGTGAACCAAAGCCATTGCCCACCTTTAAATGCAAAGCAGCACCTGTGCAGCCAGTGAGAAGAGAAGGGACGACGAAAACTCATAGTTTGGCAGGAAAGTCCACAGACGGGTTAATGAAGCAGAAATCTGATGCTTGGGGGGGGAGAAATGGTCAAACGCACAAAGTTTCCACTCAAACATCCTCGGGGCCAGCGAGCAGGAGCAGTTTCCGAGCGGACAGGCGGGTAAGGCAAGGCGATGTGGTCGAGCTGGGAGGGAAAACCAAGACAAGTAAAGAGACACAAAGCAAGAAGGGACACAGTTCCTCAAATGCACCTCCACCACAAACTGGTATAAAAAAAACTGGTGCTCCAGTGATGTCACGGAGAGCGTCACAGCCTGTCCCGTCCCTCGGCCGCACACACCTAACCACAGACACGAAGACGCCGAAGGTCTCAGTCAGGGTCCTTCCCCAGACTGAGGTAAAGAAACTGACTGCTGCCCAGGAAGAAAGAATGTAAGTAGAACCATACAAGTTGAGTTCTGTGACTCATTGTTATCCCACCTCCTCTCTCCCCTCGTTTAAAGTGTCTCTCTGCCGTGCTGCCCAGTTAAGTAAAAATGATTGTGTTATTTGTTCTGAAGGAGAAAACTGCAGGAATGGCGGCAAGCTAAGGGCATATCCTACAAGCGCCCGCCGATGCCGGTGAAACCTCAGGTGAGGCACACGGTGGCTGTGCCCCAGCCTTTCTGGACCGCCATGAAGGAGGAGGATGACGCCCACTCCCTCATCAGTGCCATTGACAGGTCCCTGGATGACTGCATTCAATTGCTTGGAAAGGTTTGTGATTTACTGGTTCCAATGACAAGACAGGAAAGTCTACACTAACTTCAAGGTGCAGTCCACAGAAAAAAATGGAATGGTTGGAACGTTAATAATTGTTTATACATGTTGGAGCACTGAAGAGACACGGCAATCATTGGAAATTGTGAATCTGATGTGAACAGGGCTGCCCTCCAGACCAGGTGAAGGAGGTTCTGTCGCGGCTGCCGACAGTGACACAGAAGTTTGCGAAATACTGGATCTGTCAGGTCCGTCTGATGGAGCAGGAAGGCAACATGGACGTCCTGCCCGTATTTGAAGAGGCCGTTGGTGTTGTGTTGGAGGTAAAACATCCATGATATTCAACGAATCCATAAAACATTTACAGATTAAAAATCAGGCATGATTCATCCTTCTTCTCCGTCTTTGCTGGACCATCACTTGCACACGTATGCGTCCAAAAGACAAAACAGAACATGTCATGGTGTTTAACTATTTTTTCATTCCACTTAATCCTTTTTAAAATCTAAATAGTACTTGTTTTCTTGTAATACAGTACATACTTACTTTTTTTTTACAATCGTCAAAAATTGTGCCTTGCTCATTCCTTTATTTAAATTCCCCCCCGGATTCATGGAGCATATTTTCCTTGTACTGACATTTAATCTAAGTTTTGTCAATTGGTTTTTACATTTCTTTGTCCTTCAGGGCGGGTTATGATGATTATACAATGTGATAACTGCTAGTTCTATATAAATTCATTTGTTGCTTTGTCACCACAAATGTCAAAGAAACCAGATCTCTCAGTGCAGTGAAGCTCTTGCACTTGACGAGCAGCTTGCCTGACAGTTAATCAGGGGTTGCAGGCCGAGGAAGCAATGGAGGCTGCTGTTAAACTCTGATAGACGGAGAAGAAACCAAGCTTATCGTGGCGTCCCTTTGCTGTCTGTTCTGTCTCATGTGAACAGCTAAAGCTGGACACAAAAATACAGAATCAAAAAATTCAGAAAATAATGAGTCTGCTGTTTTTTGTGATATCATCAGCCTTGAAGTATTTCACAAGTCTATTTGGGTATTTGACCACAGTGCAGTAGATAATTCTACAGCATAGTCATTGTTTATTTGTCCCAAATGAAAGATTGTCTTTCTGTGCTCCTGTTAACTTTCACTGTCTTTTTTTATTCTAGCCCATAGACGAGCTGCGGAACGTGGTGTTCGAGATTCTGAAGAAAAAAGACGAGATCCAAGGTAGCTGGAGCTCTTGTGTGTAACCACTGTGATATAATACACTGACATTGTTATCAGAGCTCTTATTAATGACTGTTGATGGCAGCAGTGTCAGCTCATTCTGCAGTTTGGGGTTCTGTGTAGTTAGACGAGCTTCTCTGATTGTTTGCTTTGTACAGCGGCAGGTCTTTACTTGATGTGGCTGAACATCTGCAGCTCACTTCACAGTTTCAGAAAGCAAGCTACAATGCAGAATTTCATATTTTTTCAGCGCCTGAAACAAAGCAGGACCAACTGCCATCAGCTGAGAGTTCTCCTGAGAGCAGCCACAACCCAATGATGACCCCCAAACCTGTGAGAGTCCTCATCTCAGGGGAGAAAGGAAACTCGTCTGTAGTCAAGTATAAGATAACAGCGACTCCTGGGTAGGTTTCACTCATCATTACATTAATATTATAATCAGTGACTGTATATGAATATTGACGAAATGACGACGCACCAAAAGTGAAGTCACATCATCTGGATAACCTCCTGGTGGCTCGCTGCAGTATAGGTCATAAACTTTGCCTCCTCCATGTTATTCGTTGTCTTTAACCTAAACTCCCAAACCCAATAAAGCCGGCAAACTCGCAGACATCTCAAACACGTCTCTTACAGACTGACCCTTGATCAGCAGGAACATTGTCTGAGTGTGAATCTTCGTCAGTTTTATTTCCAAGGCTTTTGACGTCAATAAAACTCTTATCTATATTCTGCTTCAATATCGCTCCCCTCGCCTAGAACCTCATTGTCCGAAACGTTGCTCTAAAAACAACAACCAACAAACTACATTTCCCATAATTTCCCATAACAATCACTCCTGTGCAGACTCTGACTCCAAATGTGGTGCAAGAAAGTAAAATGGAGGAATCCGTATGTGGGTTATACGTTTTTGACAACTTTGCACGTGTACATTTACTCTGAAGTACGTGGTCATGTAGGTAGGAATTCTCATACTAATGGAAGAATTGTTTTCTAGAAGTTGGATAAGGTTGACATTTTGATTTTGTTTTTCTTTTCCTTCAGTGGCCCTTCAAGACAGAAGAGAGAACCAACGCGGGTCAACGGCCAGGAGGTTCGCTTTTTCACTCCGGTGAGGCGCTCGGTGCGAATCGAGAGAGCCTCGCCCCGATATCCCGTGTCCCTTCAGGACCACGACCTCTGCGTGGCCTCCTACAACGACCTGATCTCCGAGGAGGACCACGACATTAGTGGAGAGCGGGTGGACGGGGGAACCAGCCCGTCTGTTGATGACGCGCCGATGTTTATCTACAGACAGAACGAAGCACTTAAAGATAAGGTGCTCGTCCAGCTTGTCTGTGATTAAGGTGTTTAGCCGTCATCAGTTTGTATTTGAAACAGAATTCAAGTGACCAGCATTTGTCAGTGTTCACATAGCAGTGAAAAAAAAGTTTTATCATCCAGGCGTTTTAAGAAATTCACACGCGGCATCTGTATTATTTTATCACTTCAACTATTGTGTACATAGTGATGTCAAATAAATGTCTTTTTATAATACTATGCTTTAAAAATCCTCATCATTACACACAGTGTCACTGTCACATTACATTTCATTACGCTGATGCTTTTATCCAAAGCGACGTACAATAAGTGCATCAACCACGAAGGCACAAACCCAGAACAGCAAGAATCATGTAAGTACAATAGCTTCAAAAAAGCCAAACTACATGTAACTGCAGCCTAAGTGCAACTCAACTTTTTTTTTAAATGTTCAGACGATCATCATCTTAACCAAGATGCATCTGTCCTGATGTCATGGGGTTCACCATTTTAGATCCAGGAGAGCAGACAGTTTGTTTGTTTTTGTTGAGCGGTTAGCTCACAGTGAGTACACAGCATGACTGTTGTATGCCTGCGCGAAATACCTGCACTCTATACAGACCGGTATAATGTGATGAGTAAGTCCAAAAAAATCAGTAAAAGTAATGTTATCAACAAGCAACATCAATGTGAGGCAATATAGAAATAGAGCGTAAACAGAATACAGGCTAATGGATTGTTCTACATAAATTAAAGGTGCAGTGTGTAGAATTTAGTGATATCTAGTGTTGAAGTTGCCTCACCTCACCCTCTCCTTCCAAACATGATGGAGAACCTGTGGCAGCTTCAGATGCATAAAAACTCACAAGGTGTTTAGTTTGTCCTGGACCAATGTAAAAAACATGGCAGCCTCCGTAGAGATGGTCCCCTCCATGTAAATATAAAGTATTTAAAAATAAAGGGCCTTTTCTGGGGTAAAGAAAACTACAATTTGTAGAATTTAGATGAAACAAACATCATGAGAATTATTCTACATTAAATTTCTGCCAATAGTTCCCTTTCACCTAAATCTTACATTACACACTGGACCTTTAACAGAAATTACACGTGTTTCAGCTCAGCAGCAGAAATGAATGACTTATAGAGATCCAACCTGAGAGGTATTGTTATGTCCCCCTCTTGTGTCAGTGTGGTGTATGTGTGTTCTGTTTCGTTTCTCTGTTTTCTCCCCAGGTGATGAGTCACTCCTGTCTGCCAATCAGAGGGCGCCACCGCCAACCAGAAACTAACCACTTAACATGAGCGAATATTTATACCATTTTAGGTAAATCCCCTCAGGACACCTTTAGATATTGCGTTCACGGAAGAATAGGACAAGGGAAAAACCTGAAAAAAAAAAAAGGCCGCCACCGCCACCTATATATATAATGTTAATGTTATATATATATATATATATATATATATATATATATATATATAGATGTATATTTTTGTATAATAAATTATTGTTCCTTTTACAAGCACCTTGGTTTGGTTTACTTGTGTTGCCACACCACACACCCTGCTCTGCGCAGTGTTGGGCCCTTTCAAACATCACTAGACACGATACAATCAAAAGGGTCGTAACAGGTATAATGTGGAACAGCAAAATATTTTCGTGCTGCCTTGATCATATCTTCTAAAAATAATTAAGAAAACAAATCAAGTGGTGATGCAGTGTTTTTCTGTCATGGTGCAATGTACAGGGAAAACAAGATAATCATCTGTTTCCTGTGAGCAATGCTGTAGTATTGATGTAGTATTGATGTCTGTATAAAAATACATTATTTGTAATTATGTCTCATGAAATCATTGACTCATATTGAGATGTCTTTTTCCAAGAGAGACCTGAGTACAAGAAACATTCACAAAAAACAGATTTTCCTGAAGGCAGCGTTTAGTGATATATTTTTGTTTTCAGGTTTTTCCCTTGTCCTATTTTACCTGAGGGGATTTACCTAAAATTGTATAAATATTCACTCATGTTAAGTGGTTAGTTTCTGGTTGTCAACACTAGATTTCTTCTAGTTTATTGCAACATTAGAACATGAGTGCGTCTATGGTCCGATTCAGCGCGTCACTGGATATGACTACGATTATAACAATATGGGAGGGATGAAGGTGCCTCGAGGTGGGGGCGGGGGGGACTGACTAACTGACTAAATTGAATTCCTTCACTTCATCCACACTCAAATTAATTAGTCATGAGAAGATAATGAAGTAATATTCCTTTTCTATCCCTTTGAAACATGATTTGACTTGTGATTTTTTCCATAACTGCTCCAGGGAATTACTGCAATTTTTGACAGGTATTGCAAGTATTCACTTGCTCACAGATTTATGTAGAAAGGAATGCTCTGGTGAGACAACCGTATTTCTAGTTTTATATATGTGAGTCACTTTTTTTGTCCCCACTGACACATGTGACGCATCCTCAGGTCTCTTCAGAGGTGCAATATAAATATAAAAAAAGTTATTAGCATTGTTATAAAATTAAATGTTGAGTGGACACAGATACAGATGTGATGTTTACAACGTTAATATAGAAGTTGTGATAATACCCTCACATGCTCCCTGGACACTGTCCAACATCCTCCATGCACTTTAACAGTTCATTTCCGGACTTGCCCAATTTCTTGAGAAATACGCCAACTCGTCACATTGCATTCATTATTATTTTTTTCCCCCACATGTTATTGTGAATCCTGTCTGTTGTCTCGTGTGGTGCCCCTCTGCTGCGCATGCGTCTGTTTGCGCAGCTCCAGGATATTTAAGGAGTCACTCTGCCACTCTGCAGCACACACGGACTTCAGCCGTCGAGTTCATCAGATTCAACACTTTCTGTAAAGGTAAGTGGCAACGACACGATTTCTAAACATGCAACATTAACTGTGCATGTGCCACGTGTTTGTCCACACGTGTCTTTTCGCTCGGAGGATGCTGAAGTAGAATGAGGAGGAAAGAAAACCGTTCCTCTGCTCACAGATCCGATTTATTGGTCGGTCGATGATATGAAGGCAGTTTTATTTTTAAAGCACGTTTCATACACAGAGGTAGATGCCAGGTTCTGTGCAGGGACTTTCAAATTAAGAGACGAAAGAAAACAAGTGAATAAAAGAGGTGCATTGATATTAACCCCTGAGATATTCATTTCAAATGTTGAAGCTTAAGGGGTGAAAACATAACCTCCCTTGCAGAGATAATATACATATAGAAAATACACACACAAGGAAAACAATATTTATTGCAAAGAGGAAAATTGTGTGTTTCTGAATCATGAAGTGTTTGCTTTCTATTTCCTCCTGTCAGAACAATACTGAGGAGACAACATGGTCGACAACTGCACCAAATACAACTTGAAAATCAAAGATGGGAGATTTGTGACCGTCAAGAAGTTCCTTGATTCAGTCAAGCTCTGCGCCGAAGATCTTCAGGATGCTCAGAAATATGGTACGGCTCTTCACTCGTGTATTGTTTCAAGGTTCCACACAGGGACTTGTTTTGCAAAGTCTGATGCCCCATTGATTATGAGTTTATAAAAAGGTTCTTGTAACTAAAAGAACCAGAGTTGATCGAGTCAAATGTTTTCATTGATCCAGATAAGCAGAAATAATGTTGTTTGTGATGACAGCTTCATACATGTATCTTCAAACAAAACGACGGGAGTGATTTATTAAAGGTCCAGTGTGGAAGGTTTAGGTGAAAGGGCAGAAATTTAATGTAGAATAATCCTCATGATGTTTTCACTAGTTTGTTTCATCTACATTTTCTGAATTGTAGTTTTCTTAACCCCAGAAAAGGTCCTTTATATTCAAATACTTTATATTTACATCGAGGGGACGCTCTCTATGGAGACCGCCATCTTTTTTACAGTAGTCCAGACTGGACAAACTAAAATATTGTGGAAAAAAACTTCAACACTACATATCACTAAATTCTACACACTGTACCTTTGTCATCACAATTACACTCCCGATTGTGTCTTTTCTAGGCCCATGCAGTGAGTTGACCATTTGAATAATTGTGCATTATTTTTGACTCAAACAAGCAAAATAAGTTGTTTTTCTTTCCTTTTTAATCTGTTCCTAGCTCCTAAGGTGTGCATAAAGAGACAGAATACCAACATAGCAAGGATACGTCTCCACATCAAGTATGAAAACTCCAACTACAGACTAAAGGTTCAGGAGGAAACCCTGAAGGTAAATTGTACTTGCAGCCCGTACTGTACAATACTGTATTTTCTTTTTTGTATTAAGAATGTACAAATCAGTGGAGATGACCCAAAGATGCAAACCCAAATCCTTCCTGCTGTGAGGCAACAGTGCAGACCACTGTGCTGCGTCCTGTCCGCCTATTATGATTAAACAAAAGACTAAGAGATGCTTTCCAAGATGGCCCCTGTGGCTTTATCCACGGTGGCCGAGAGAGTGCAACACACTGCAAATTAAGAAAACATCCGTAATCAATTTGACGACACGTGGGTTGAAATGTTTCCAGTGGACCCACAAAAGTGATGAACCTGGCCGCAGCTCAATGCTTTGTGAAGTTATTGAAGTCTGCTACTCGTCGGTGGTGATGGAGCTTCTCGAAGCATTGAACTACAGCCAGGTTCATCGCTTTTTTCGGTCCCCTGGAAACATCAACGTTGTCGTTTTCGCTATTTGCAGCGTGTTTCTGTGTTTGCGTGCGTTATGTCTTTTTTGCAGTGAATGTGTCGTCAAATTGATGAAGTCGTTTTCTTAATATGCACGTTTGTTTCTATTTGCACGTGTTGTCTTAATTTGCAGTGTGTTGAGCTCTCGGCCGGTGTATATAGCTCTATTGGCAGCTGATTTCTGCATGACGGAAAAAAACTAAAGACATTTCTTGTTCAAAATATACACGACGTGTTTTGGGTACAACGTCGATTGAAATCAGCTCGACGAAGGCAAATCACAGAAGAGAAGTGGTTGAAAAAGGAATGTTATTGTATGAGCTCATTCCTAAACATTGTGTTTTTGTGTTCACAGCTGGAGAAAGTTTTTGATAAACCAAATGAGAACTTGGATGACAGCCACTGGTTTGAGAAGGTGAACCAGGGAAGCGGAGAATATTACAGCCTGAGAAGTGTGAGCAAACCTGGGTTTTACCTCTACATTTCAGGATTGCAGATTTCCATCAGCAGGGATGTTCAGAAGTGTTGTCTTGTCAAGGAGATT